TTTAGAATGCTGTCTAGATTTGCCATAGCTTTCCTCCCCAGGAGCCAGCGTCTTTTAATTTCTTGGCTGTAGTCCCCATCTGCGGTGATCTTGGAGCCCAGGAAAATCAATTTTTTCACTACCTCCATTAGCCCATAATGGCATTTATTTTGAAATAATGAAAGATGTGCCTCACTTTTCAAAGCACTACATGGATTGTGTTTGGAAAGCAACCGTAATCAAAGTTCTTTCTGGATGGAAACCATAGCAGGGGTTTCAAAAAGTTATAGGTAGTTTGAGAAGAGGAGAGAGAGAAGAAGAGAGAGAGAGAAACAAAAAGAGAGAAGGAGACAGAATGAGAGAAAGAGAAAAGGAGAAAGGAAGAAAGAGAAAATGGAAGAGAAACAGAGGGAAAAGAGAAAGAGAAGAAAGCAATAGAGAGAATGGAACAGAGAGAAAAAGAATGAGAAAGATAGAAAAGAGAGAGAGAGGAAGAGAGAGGGAAAGAGAAAGAAAGGAAGATAAATTGAGACAGAAGAAGAAGAGAGAAAAGTGAAGGGAAAAAAAGAAGAGAGAAGAGAGAGAGAATGAGAGAGAGAGTATTGAGACAGAAAAAGGGAGAGAAAAATGAAAGAGAAAGAGGGAGAAAAGAGAAAGAAGAAAGTGAAAGAATGGAAGAGAGAAAAGAAGAGAATGAGAAAAGAGATGAGAGAGAGGAAGAGGAAGAGAGAGAGGGAGAGGGAGAGGGAAAGAAAGCGAGAGAAAATGAGAGACAGAGAGAAGGGGGAAGAGAAAAGAGAGAATGAAAGAGAGATAATGAAAGAGAGAGAGAGAAAGAATGAAAAAAAGAGAGGGAGAGAGACTGAAAGAGAGAGCGAGAGAATGAATATATATATTCTGAGTGTGGTGAAACTAAGACAGGCCTAAGTAGCTTCCAGGAAGACAAATTTAGTTTTTTTCTTCCCAGAAGACTCTAAAATATATCCTTTGGAGGCTGGTGCCAAAAAGTCAATATTTAGAATTTAATTGTTATGATAAATTCAGACTCCCCCACAGACACTTATCAGAACTAGCAGTATTTCGCTGTGCAACTTCCATCGGTCCACTTTGTGTCTATTTCAGCAATGCCATTTAAGAGGAGCATCTTCCTTTTGGCTCCTGAAGGTGGAAGTGTCTACTTGGACCTCAAAATCTATTCCCTGCTCAGTTAAAGAAATCTCAATTGAAGCATCCCCACCCCCCAACAGGACATAGAATAAATGGGCTGGAAGGGATCTTGGAGATCTTTTCGTCTAACCTACACCTATAGCATTCTATGGTTGTCCAATCTCTTCTTAAACACCTCTAGGGATGAAGCACCCACAACTTCTGAAGGCGAGCTCTTCTACTGGTTGTATTGCTCTCACCATTAGGAAACTTCTCTTTAGTTCCAGGTTGCTTCTCTCCTTGATTAGTTTCCATCCATTGCTTCTCTCTTCTCTCTAACCTCCTGTTGTGACCCAGGCCCAAGTAGTTAGTATTCAATACAAACAGTTCCAAAAGAAACAGACTTTATTAGAACAGCTGAGAATTAACTCATTCTCAGCGTAGTCCAAACTAAATTAAAGCAAATTCTTCAAAACACCATTCCTCAGTTTATCACCGACCTTGGGATAATTAGGCAACCTGCCAAAGGCTTTTCTTGGCAAAAGTTCAGAAGCAGAAGACGCCGACAAGAAATGAATACAATGAAACAAGAAGCAAATCTTTCAACGTTGTTTTCCGATAAAGAGCCCAAGAGCCTTTGCTGCTCTTTTAAGCCTTATGGGAGGGGCCAATCATCTCTTGGCCTTACTCCCGAGTTGTCCTCTCTGCTTGAGCTGCTCCTGCCTTCTGGCAGCTCTTCTCATACGTGCACTAGGAACAGGCTCCTCCTGTTCCTCTGCCTCTCTACTGTCAGCCTCTGGAGGCTCCGGAGTCCGCACATCACTCCCAGATGGCCCTGGCCCCATCTCTGCCTCTGACGCAGAGCCCTCATCTGGGCCTTCCCCAGCCTCCAGGACTGGCCCATATTCTTCCTCAGCCTCATCGCTGTCCGACTCCGCTGACAGCTCCGCAGGCTGCTGGCAGACCACAACAGAAAGTAGGGAGGTGGGAGGGGAGTAATTGGAATTTTTTGGAGAGCTGGGAGGGAATTGAGGGATTGAGGAGCACCATCTTCAGCCTGAGAAAATTTCTACACCTCAAGGTCAAACGGTGGGAAACCTCTAAAAGGCACAGATAATTCCCAAAACAAACTGACTCCATATGATGGGTGGACAATGGACAGCGGGTGGCCCAGGAGGAAAAAAAAGGACTGCTACCTAAGCTGCTTTTCGCGTGAAAACTTCAGAACTGGCTTTGCTTCTTCTGTATCTATGTGGCACCTTTATCAGTAAAGCTATATTCTTGGAAAAATGATACCCCAGAAGCAGGGATGAAATCCAGCAGGTTCTGACAGGTTCTGGAGAACTGGTAGCGTACATTTTGAGCAGTTCGGAGAACCGACAAATGTCACCTCTGGCTGGTCCCAGAGTGGGGAGGGAATGGGGATTTTGAGTATCCTTCCCCAGGAGTGTGGTGGGAATGGAGATTTTGCAATATCCTTCCCCCAGGAGTGGGGAGGGAATGGGGATTTTGCAGTATCCTTCCTCTGCCACACCCACCAAGCCACGCCCACCAAGCCACACCATGCCCACCAAGCCACGCCCACAGAACTGGTAGTAAAAAAAAATTGGATTTCACCACTGCCCAGAAGTTTCTTTTGCTGCATGTGCCAACGGGACAGTACCAGTCCATGGATCAGGGGTTGGAGACCCCTCCTCTAACTCATAGACTTCACCATCAAACTGTCTGTATTGCAAGAAATATTTTACCTAAATTTATATGGGTTTTACCTTATTCTAATTTCCACATCCTGAATTCCAGAACTGATTCAGAGTGGTTAAATAATTGGGAGTCAACCCCCCCCCCGCCCCAAAGTCTCAGAAATCACCAGCAACTTTTCCAGTCCGTCCAGGTTCAGGAACCCCACTGTTATTTTCCACTAGCTGGTTCTTGAGTGTAAATTCTTTCCCCACAACAGCTGGAGTGATTTTGCACAGCACAACTCTCTCTCTCTTCTGTAATTCGCATTCCGCATTTAGAAATTAATTAAATTAATTTTTGAGAAGGAGCTGAGATGGCACGCGTGCAAAATGTTAATAATTAGTATAATCAAAGGAGGAAATTTTCAAGGAACTACTGCTGAATTTGAAATACATCTTCTCTTCTTAGTCTAGAGCAGGGGGCTCCGAACTTGGCAACTTTTTTAAGATTGGAGGACTTCAACTTCCAGAATTCCTCAGCCAGCATGGCTGGTTAAGGAATTCTGGGCGTTAAACTCCACAACTCTTGGTGCCAAATTTGGAGAGCCCTTGGTCTACAGCAATATTTGTCAACCTTGGAGATTTGTGGACTTCAACTTTGAAACAACTGTGGACTTCAACAACCTTGAAACATCTGTGGACTTCAATGCCCAGCATTTCCGTCCAAGCCTGGTCTTCTGGGCATTGAAGTCCACACATTTAAATCTTGACATGATTCCTCTATTGGAGATACAATTATCATCTTGTATAAGCCATTTCTTATTTTGGCCATATCCTACGGAAGAAAGCAATTTCACATTCTGGTCAGAGAGATGTTCCCCAAGGATGGGCTCCAGCACGACTCTGAAGGCTCGGAAGACTAAATCTCTGGTCCCAATGACTGATCCAGATGGGATCCAGCAAAGCAAGTATGCTTGGAAGAGTTAGCCATAAAAGGAAGCCAGATCTCCTAAGAACATGGTGGCTGGACACCATCAAAGCTATGACACCAGCCAGAGCATCGAACAGCTCAAAGAAGTAGTGCAAGATCAGAAGATGTGGAAAGACCTGGCCCATGGAATCGCCAAGGGTTGGACACTACTGAAAGGATCATATCATCATCATCAGAGATTCAACCTAGAAATAAGGAGGAACTTTCTGACAGTGAGAACAATCAACCCATGGGACAGAAGTTGCCTTCGGAAGTTCTGGGAGCTTCATCACTGGAGGCTTTCAAGAAGAGACCGGACTGCCATCTGTCAGAAATGGTGTAGGCCCATGATGGCAAACCTATGGCACACGTGCCAGAGGTGGCACACAGAGCCCTCTCTGATGGCACGTGAGCCATTGCCCTACTTCCGTGATGGCGAACCTATGGCACGCGTGCCACAGGTGGCACGTGGAGCCATATCAGTGGGCACGTGAGCTCAGCTCTGGCACACATGCGCGCACCGGACAGTTGATTTTTGGGCCTTCCGGGCCCACTGGAAGTCGGCAAACAGGCCATTTCCAGCCTCCAGAGAGCTTCCAGGGAGGTAGAGAAGGTCATTTTTGCCCTCCCCAGGCTCCTAGAAAGGCTCTGGAGCCTGGGGAGGGCGAAAAACGGGCCTGCCATGCCATCACATGCCAAAAGCGAGGGAAGCACGTGTGTGTGTGTGTGTGTCACACATACATGTGCTGGGGCGGGGCGCATAGAATTATGGGTGTGGGCACCCACACACATGCAACCCTCCTGCGCTCCCCCCACTTTTGGCACGTGATGGCAAAAAGGTTAGCCATCACTGCCCTAGTTCATCTCCGCTGCACATGCGTGTGCGTCTCCCGCTGGTCAACTGGTCTTCGGGTCTCCGCTGTGCATGTGCGGGGGGCAGGGCACGTGGAGGGTGTGGGGCACATGCGGGAGCTGTGCACACATGCAGGGGGGGCGCGAATGTATTGCATTTTGGGGGGTTTGGACGTGCGTGCACGCATTCGCATGTATACGCGCTTTGGGCACTCGGTCCAGAAAAGGTTAGCCATCACTGGTGTAGGGTCTCCTGCTTGAGCGGGGGTTGGACTAGATGATTTATAAGGTCCCTTCCAACTCTGTTAATCTGTTAAATTAAGTCATCATCAACATCATCATCAAGAACAACAACATCAACATCATCCACTTACCTGGACATCTCCGTTCATTGCATTGCTTGAACTCCTCCTTGGGACCTTGACACGGTTCTCCTCCAAAGAAAGGACCATAGCACACACGGTCCCGTTTCTGGGTTCCCCCTCCACACGTGGCAGTACAGCTACCCCAGGGACCCCAGACCTGCCATTTTCCATCCACTGCAGCAGAAGGACAAAAATGACAAGAAGAGTGTTGGGACACTCCTGCGGAAGAGGAAGGCTTCAGAAAGAACACCTGGCCTGCAACGCCATACATCCAAGTGATCGCCAGCGGTGAAATCCTCTGGAGTCTGCTACCGGTTCTGTGAGTCTGCTACCGAGCAGGCACTTCGCGTGCATGCGCACCTGAGGCGGGCATACGCAGCGCTAAAAGAGGAACATTTTGAAGCCTTCTGAGTCCGCAAAGGTAAGTAGAACAACGAAAGGGGGGGAATCCTCTGTGCCATGCGATTTAGATTAGCTAGAAAGTAGGAAATCCAACGATTCTAGCTAATATAAATTGCGCGTCATAGCTGATCGTCGCCTAGCTGATCATCGGAAATACCGGTTCGCCCGAACTGGTAGGATTTTTTACTACCAGTTCGCCTGAACCGGTCTGAACCAAGAGTGAAATCCAGCAGGTTCTGACAGGTTCTGGAGAACCAGCAGCAGAAATTTTGAGTAGTTCGGAGAACTGGCAAATACTACCTCTGGCTGGACCCACAGTGAGGAAGGAATGGGGATTTTGTAATATCCTTCCCCTGGAGTGGGGAGGGAATGGGGATTTTGCAGTATCCTTCCCCTGGAGTGGGGTGGGAATGGAGATTTTTTTTTTTAATTTGATTTATATGCCGCCCTTCTCTGGAGACTCAGGGTGGCTTACAATGCGTTAAGCAATAGCCTTCATCCTTTTGTATATTTATACAAAGTCAGCTTATTGCCCCCACAAACTGGGTCCTCAATTTACCTACCTTAGAAAGGATGGAAGGCTGAGTCAACCTTGAGCCTTGGCGAGATTCGAACTTACAGTAATTGCAGACAGCTGGTGTTAATCACAATGCTATCAGTCTGCTGAGCCACCAGGCCCAGTACCAGGCTCAGATTTTGCAGTATCTTTCCCCTGCCATGTCCACCAAGCCACATCACACCCACCAAGCCACGCTCACAGAACCGGTAGTAAAAAAAAAATTGGATTTCACCATTGGTCCAAACCGGTAGCATTTCACCCCGGGTTATAGTAAGCTTCAAGTCAATCCGAAATGTGCTTTTTTTTAAAAAAAAAGAACTGAAGAAGCTTCTTGAATGAGAAGTGAAACGTTTTCAAAGGAGAAAAACCAAGAAAGTCCTCAAGATCCCCTGAGTAGTGGAACTGGTGGAACTGTTGAAAGGACTGTGTTGTATACTGGAGATAGATGAGGTCTCCCCCTCTATTAAGAGAGAGCTTTTCAATTTTGACCAAGGCAATTTTGCCCTATTCAGGTGACCCTGAGGACACAGATAAACCTCCAAGTGGCCTCAATGACTCTCTCAAAAGAATGCAAACGACCAGCTTTGTCTGCAAGGAGTTATCAATCCTTCCATTCCCCCACCATTTAATCAGAGTTGAAGCAGCTTCTTAGATGAGAAGTGAAACATCTTCAAAGAAAAACCTAGTTTAAAAAGTCTAGCTGCCTCTTGAAAAAAAAAAGATGTTTATTAAATAAACTTTTTTAAAATTTTTAAATTTTAAATTTGTCTTATGAATTTGGGGTGTTTTAAATTTCATTTTCCAGGCCAATTATTTAATTGTATTTTAATGGTTTTTTAACATTTGTATTATATGTATTTTATTTGGCTGTTCACCGCCCTGAGTCCTTCGGGAGTAGGGAGGTATACAAATTCAAATAATAATAATAATAATAATAATAATAATAATAATAATAATAATAATAATAATAATAATAATAATAATAATAATAATAATAATAATAATAATAATAATAATAATATATCTGTCGTCCCATCTCGTAGTTCGAGGCAATTCCATCTGGGGAAAAAGTTTGGGCCAAAGTATAGAAATCATAGGATTTTTTTCTCCTAAGAAGTGTGGGATTTCTGCTTTTAGAGAAGATATATTATGGTGTAGGAAGTTAGCACCCACCCCTTTCCTAGAAGAATGAAATATTTTGGGAAATATTAAAAAGGCAGAATATTATGTTTCCCTGGATGAGAAATGGAGAAGCATGTTTTAAAGACGAAGCAGCTCCCACCTTCCTGCCTCCACCCTTTGTCAATGGAACATCATCTGCAACACAATAGGACCCATCTAGCAACAGAAACTAACACAATAGGACCCATCTAGCAACAGAAACTCACCACATGGCACCTGGGAAGATTACATCAGCCAGCAAGGCTAGCTAAGACCCCCACCCCCTGGGAGTCTGACAACCAATCAGGATACTCTTTCTGGGCCCCAGGAAGTTCAAAGCCAGAGAGGGCATAAAACCTGGAAACTCGCTGTATCTGCCCCTTTTTTTTCTGTTCAGGAACTCAAGCCATGTGATCCTGTCCACCATTAAACCATCTTTCCAAGCAGTCTCCATGTTTCCAGTGTCTTTTTCCCCACTTGGAGCTGAACCCAGAAGGATATTTCTTCCTACAATGGGAAAGGGAGACTTTCAAAGCAATGTGCTTTTCCGTAGTTTTCCCAAATGCCAAAACACAGTGTCATTAATATGGTTTAGACACCAGGTGGCGCTAGACTTAGTGGTATCTGAGTGGGATGAAGACTTTTGCAAGAATATAGCTCAATTAACGTTTGAAAGACACAACAAACCAGCATAAATGTTGGTTTCCTAATCATTGAGTCCTCCAATTTTTCCATGTCATTATAGCCAACTTTCTACGTTTAACAAGAGCAGAAGGCGAACTGGCCTCAATGAGAAAGTGTACCTAAGTCTAATATGGGTAGTTTCAACTTATGACCATCATTGAACCCAGAGTTATGGCCATAAGTCCTTGCGGTCATAAGTCTAGGCATCACGGGACTGAAGCTGATTTTTTGGGGGGGACATTTTTCTGGCAGTGATGCCGTGATGATTAAGCAAATCCATTTCACCCAATGGAATTTTTGGTAAATGCCAGAAACAGGTAAAAAAATGACAAAAATTGAGGTCCCGTGACCACGGAATGCTACAAACGGTCATAAAGGGGAGCAGGTTGTCAAATGCCCCAAATGCAATCACGTGAAAGCAGTGTGTTTGTGTGTTTGTGTGTGTTTGTGTGTGTGTATGTATGTGAAAGAGAGAAAGAGAGAGACTGTCATAACTTTGAAATGGGTCATAAGTACACTTCAAACTTCAAATGGTCGTGACGCAAACAGTCATAAGTCGAGGACTACCTACACGATAGGAATAGTGACACATTTTGTGTAATTTCCATTGAGACAGTATCTGGTGTCTGTGAATCTCTCTCTCTCTCTCTCATCTCACTATCTCTCTATATGTCTCTCTTTCTCTCTTTCTTTCTGTATCTATCTTAGTATCTTTCTCTCTCTCTTTCTCTCTCATCTTGCTATCTCTCTTCCCATCTCTCTCTCTCTCTCTCTCTCTCTCTCATCTGTCTGTCTATCTAGTCTCTCTTCCTATCTTTCTATCATCTCACTATCTCTGTATGTATCTCTCTATTTTGCTTTCTCTCTCTCTCTTTCTATATTCTATTTCTCTAGCTCCATCTCCATCTCTGTCTGTCTGTCTATTTGTCTGTCTGTCTGTCTATGCCTGTCTGTTTCCCTCTGTATACACCCACCCACACAATGTCTATATCTCTAGCTATCTCTTATCTATTTCTATCTATCTGTCTCTCTCTCTCTCTCTATCTTTCATCTATCTAATCTCTCTGTATCTCTCTCTAACTCTGTATCTTTCTCTCTCATCTATCTATCCATCATCATCTCTCTCTCTCTCTCTCTCTCTCTCTCTCTCTCTCTCTCTCTCTCTCTCTCTCTCTAGCCATCCAATGGTGGGATTCAGCCGGTTCTCACCACTTCGGGAGAACCGGTTGTTAACTTTCTGAGCAGTTTGGCAAACTGGTTGTTGGAAGAAATCATTAGGGCAGAGAACCGGTTGTTAAATTACTTGAATCCCACCACTGTATCTATCTATCTATCTATCTATCTATCTATCTATCTATCTATCTATATCAATCTATCAAATGTCCCCCCCCCCAATCATACCACATAAACCTTCCATTCCACCCCTGGTCTTCAGAGATCTCGATATGGGAAGGGTTCCCCATGCAACCCACCTGGACACTGCCGAAGGAAACAGTCTCGGGACTCGACCCAGGGCCCCTGGCATTCCGCTCCTCCGTACGAAGGCCCGTTGCACTCCCGTGTCCGCTGCTGGGTGCCATTGGAGCAGGAGGTGGAACAGGAGCTCCAGCTGGACCAGGCATTCCAGTTGCCGTCCACTGAGTGGCCCAAAGGAAGAAAAGACAGGAGACAGAATGTGAAAACCGCTATTGCACGGGGTGGTGTCCACATACCGGCATTCTGTTTCAGCGGGGATTGTACCGATGGAAGAGAAGATTCGTAGTTAAAGGTTAGAGTCCTTGGTGCTTTCTTTGCAGACATTTCATTACCTAACTAGGGAACATCATTAGTGCTAGAAGGGAGTGGGGTTTGTGGAGAGAAAGAGGAGGAGGAGGAGGAGGAGGAGGAGGAGGAGGAGGAGGAGGAGGACGACGACGACGACGACTGTGGGGTCCTTAGTGCTCTGAGCTTGGTTGTGTTTTTGCAAATATTTCATTATCCAACTAGGTAACATCATCAGTGCTAGAAGAGAGTGGGATGAGGAGGAGGAGGAGGAGGAGGAGGAGGAGGAGGAGGAGGAAGGAGGAGGAGGAGGAGGAGGAGGAGGAGGAGGAGGAGGAGGAGGAGGAGGAGGAGGAGGAGGAGGACAACTGTGAGGTCCTTGGTGCTCCCTGAGCTTGGTGGTTTTTTGAAGATATTTCATTACCTAACTAGGGAACATCATTAGTGCTAGAAGGAGTGGGTTTGTGAGAGAAAGAGGAGGAGGAGGATGAGGAGGAGAGGAGGAGGAGGCAGGAGGAGGAGAGGAGGAGGAGGAGGAGGAGGAGGAGGAGGAGAACTGTGAGGTCCTTGGTGCTCCCTGAGCTTGGTGGTTTTTTTGAAGATATTTCATTAGCTAACTAGGGAACATCACCAGTGCTAGAAAGCACAAACATAACCCCCTTCAGCACTGAAGGTATTACCTAGTTGGGTAATGCAACATCTGCAAGAAAACAACCAAGCTCTGAGAGCACCAAGGACCCACAGTTCTCCTATTCCTCTTCCCTCTTCCTCTTCTTTCTCCTCCCCTCCACCTCCTCCCCTCCTCTTCCTCCTCTTCCTCCTCTCCACAAATCCTATCTCCTTCTAGCACTGTTGATGTTTCCTAGTTTTTTTAAATTTTAAATTTTAAATTTTTGGGGTTTTAAATTAAGCCAAATTTATTTAATACTTTTAAATTATTTTAAATTGATGTCTATTCTGTTTTTAAATAGGCTGTACACCGCCCTGAGTCCTTCGGGAGAAGGGCGGTATAGAAATAAAATTATTATTATTATTATTAGTTGGATGATGAGATGTCTGCAAGAAAACCACAAGGTCAGAAACTTCCTTCCTTCCTTCCTTCCTTCCTTCCTTCCTTCCTTCCTTCCTTCCTTCCTTCCTTCCTGGGGAGGGTGAAAATGGTCTCCCCACCCCACCCCGGAGGCCCTCCGGAGGGTGGAAACGGCCCATTTCCTGACTTCCAGTCCCATCGTGCCATCACATGCCCAAAGCGGGGGGAGGTCGTGCGTTCATGCGTGTTGGGGGAAGCGCATAGAATTATGGGTGTGGGCATGTGTGCGTGTGACACCCCCCACCTCCGCGCTCCCTTGCTTTTGGCACACGATGGCAAAAAGGTTCGCCGTGACACGTATAGGGTCTCCTGTTTGATCAGGGGGTTGGACTAGAAGATCTCCAAGGTGCCTCCCAGCTCTATTCTATTCTGATTTTCTAATTCAAGGAGACAGCCGATAACCTTTGAGTGAATTCCTTGAGCGGTTTTCCTGCCGAAGCAAAAGAAGGAAACGTATTTATGGAATCCTTGAGGGCTGTTATTGCTTTTTAATATCAGCTGTCTCGGTTTTGATAAGACATTTTTCTCTTTTGACAGTCTAGCCCTGCTCGTCCCTTCTACAATCTCTAAATAACTTATTGATGATTCGGTTTGCCAGGCTGAGTATCCTGCAAACAGGAATTTGGGATGGTAAAGCAAATACAAATTATTTCAAAAAAGAAATAAAAATAAAATAAGGATTTTTAAGCCCCCGTCCTCATTTGCGCTCTTGTAAGCTTTCAAGTTTCTCCAAGATTCTGACTCCCCCCTCCCTCTTTGCACAATGTCATTAGCTCAAAACTCTCCACATACACAAAGACACACACAGCCTGAAACACAAACCATAATTTATCATCTAACTGGCGACACCTCCTTCTGCAATGTGCAATTTTAGGAATGAAATATGAGTAATTTTTATTGGAGCCGTATATCTTGCAATGTGGCTTGACATGACGGGTTTGATCTAATTATCTCAGCACTTGTATCGCTAAAACAGGGAGGCCAAAGATTAACACACACACACACGCACACACCCGACAAATAGATGAAGTTGGAAGGATCTGTGAAACGGAGGATTGATTGTAGACCTTTAGATGGGCCAATCTAGACAACATTGGATCACCCAACTCATTGCATTAACAGCTACCAAGAATTCAAAGAATAATAACTGAAAGCTTACTGTGGTTGGCAGAATGCCCAGAAGCAATTTGCAGGAAGCTGATAAGATAAGCAAGACAAGACACAAAGGTATGTGAACGAAGTTATTCCCTGCAAATTGCTTCAGTCAGCGTTCCTCCTTAAATAGGCTAAGGGAGTGGCCAATTAGCCCCAAGCCTTACTCTCGAGGAGACCTCCTCCTGAGGAGGCACTCCTGCCTTTTGGCAGCTCTGCACGCTCATGCATTGAGAAGAGGCTCCTCCTCTTCTTCCTCTTCACTCATGGAAGCTTCTGGAGGTTCTGAAGGCCCTGGCTGAATCCCCGCCTCTAGCACCACATCTTCTCCAGACTCCTCATTGTCCAACTCAAGTGCCAGCTGCACAGGCTGCTGGCGCAGCACCACACCAGCCTCCTCGCTGTCTGAATCAGCTACTAGCTGCACAGGCTGTGTACAGGCCACAACAGAAGCCAGATTCGCTGAACAGCTTACACGACTCACTGAACGATGGTGGCAAAGAAGGTCACAAAATGGAGCAACACTCACAAGCACTGCCTTGCTTACCAATGGCAGTTTTGAGCTCAAATGTGGTCATTGTCAGACTTCGATGCTATCTCATAATAAATGAATTTCCAAACTGCCAATCTTTAAGGAAATCTTCTCTTTAATTGTGCACAGTAACCGGATCATGACTCGATGCGGACAAGACTGACCTTTTGCCCCCCAATCCCTCCCTTTCCGATCCCCAATTATTTGCTTCTCATTGGCTATCTTCCAAGTCACTCCACTGACTTCTTGTCTTGTCATTTCACAGGAATGTCTCCCCACTCCTCATTTCCATGATGACCGGGCTTCAAAGGGATTTAGCAGGCAAAAGTTCAGGGCTTATCTCTCTCCTCTCTATGCCAGCGGTGAGACGCTGACAGTCGTAAGTCAAGGACTACTTTTATATTTATGGCATGGCCCAACTCTGTGCATAAAGTTTAAAATTAGGGTTTAATTTACAACCCAGAGGGCATGACTAGCATTTCCTTGTACAGGTAGTCCTCGGCTTACAACCACAATTGAGCCCAAAATTTCTGGGCCTTTTGCCCCATTTTACAACTTTTCTTGGAATAGTTGTTAAGTGAATCACTGAGGTTGTTAAATTAGCCACATGGTAGTTATGTGAATCTGGCTTCCCCGTCGACTTGGCTTGTCAGAAGGTCGCAATTTATGACTGCCACTGTCATAAATATGAGTCAGTTTGCCAAGCATCTGAATTTTAATCACCTGACCATGGGGATCTTTGCAATGAATGTAGATGTGAAAAAATGGCCATAGGTTACTTTTTTCCAGGGCCGTTGTAACTTCAAATGGTCACTAAACAAACTCTGATAAGTCGAGGACCAAATGCATTGGAACTTGAAGTGTCCAAATTGACTGTTTTGATCAAAGAAAAAAAAAGATAAAAATACTTTTATTTCTGCTTGGAAACCACTTCTGAACTTTGTGCTTGGGGTGAAAAAATATAAATACTTTTATTTCTGCTTGGAAACCACTTCTGAACTTTGTGCTTGGGGTGAAAAAATATAAAGACTTTTATTTCTGCTTGGAAACCGCTTCTGAACTTTTGCTTGGGGTGAAAAAATATAAATACTTTTATTTCTGCTTGGAAACCGCTTCTGGACTTTGTGCTTGGGGTGAAAAAATATACCTTTATTTCTGCTTGGAAACCACTTCTGGACTTTGTGCTTGAGGTGGAAAAAAATGAAACTTTGATTTTGGATGTTACCGATTAGACTGGTTTGTTTTTATAGAAATGGCTACTTTATACTATTATGTAAAAGTAAAAAGTTGAGGTTTAATGCAGGGGTGAAATGCTCCCGGTTCAGACCGGATTGCCCGATCCGGTAGTGATGGCGGCAGGTGGTTCGGAGAACCGGTAGCAAAAATCCTTGCGCCCCGCCCCTATGCCCAGCTGAGCCGCACAATCATCAGAGACTTTTTATTTTATTTTTAAAAGCATTTTTTTTTCTACAACGTCTTCGGCCGAAAAAAATGCTTTTAAAAGTAAAAAAAAAAAAAAAAGCCTCTGATGATCGCGTGGCTCAGCTGGGATCATCAGAGGCTTTTAAAAGCATTTTTTCTACAACCTCTTCCGCCAAAAAAAAAATGCTTTTAAAAGTTTTTTAAAAAGCCTCTGATGATTGTGCGGCTCAGCTGAGATCGTCAGAGGCTTTTAAAAGCATTTTTTTACAACCTTTTCAGCCGAAGAGGTTGCAGAAAAAATGGTTTTAAAAGTAAAAAAAAAAAAGTTGGCCATGCCCATCCAGTCACATTACCCCTCCACCAAGCCACGCCCACAGAACTAATTTTTACATTTCACCCCTGGTTTAATGTTATCTTATTCTAATGCCTCAAAGAGAGTTGGAAATCAATGCCTTTTCTTTCTTTTTCCCCTTTTCTTTCCCTTCACTTTTCCCTTCCTTATTTTCCCTACCATTTCTTTTTACATTTTCTTTGTATGCTATGTTATATACAAATAAAAAATGGGGAGGGTGTTTGAGTATTTTTAGGGAATACTCTGGACATCACACACACACCCCCAACAACCCAGCTTACTCCGGTAAAAACCCCACTGTCCATAAGGTGGGTGGGTAGATGTAGGTGAGATATATTTTTTTTCCAATTCTCGCTGCGTTCTGACCTTTCTTGAAGCACAAACCATCTCCGTTAAATGTCTGGCATTTCTCTCTTTAATTAACATCCGTGTGTGTGTGTGTGTGTTTGTGTGAGTGTGTGTGTGTGATCAAACTCTAAAAGCAGTGCCCAGTTGTTTGCCAAGATTTTCACTCTGAAGATCCAGCAGCTTAATTATCGGCAACTCACTGCACCAAATCAAATCGCCGCCAGCCAGCCAGAATTTAAGCAGAGTTCCTGCTGCAATTAAGCAATATTTTGCAAGCTTCCCTTCCTTTTCTTTTCCCCAAAAGCCACTCCATCTCTCTCTCGTCCAGCTGCAAATAAACATCGCATTTTTCCTGCATCAGAGAATAGGTATTGTTTGGGGGTAATTAAATGAGATATTCCCAAATTCCAGCAACTGTTCTATATATGTTTTAGCCAGTGGTGAAATCTAAAATTTGTTACTACCGGTTCTGTGGGCGTGGCTTGGTGGTAGGGTTAATGTGACTGGGTGGGCATGGCCATTTTTTTTTACTTTTAAAAGCATTTTTTCTACAACCTCTTCGGCGAAGAGGTTGTAAAAAAATGCTTTCAAAAGGCTCTGATGATCCCAGCTGAGTTGCCTGATCGGCAGAGGCTTTTTTCAGCTGGGATCGTCAGAGGCATTTAAAAGAAAAAAAGCCTCTGCCGATCAGGCAACTCAGCTGGGATCATCAGAGGCATTTAAAAGAAAAAAAGGGTTTTTTTCTTTTAAAAGCCTTTGATGATCCCAGCTGAGCCACACGATCATCAGAGGCTTTTTTTTTTTTTTACTTTTAAAAGCATTTTTTTGGCCGAAGAGGTAGTAGAAAAAATGCTTTTAAAAGTAAAAAAAAAAACCCTCTGATGATTGTGCGGCTCAGCTGGGCATGAGGGGGTGGGAGGGATTTTTACTACCGATTCTCCGAACCACCCGCCTCCATCGCTACCAGATCGGGCAATTCGGTCCGAACCGGGAGCATTTCACCCCTGGTTTTAGCCTCCAGACCCCTAAAATTTGATAAATAAATAAATAAATAAATAAACAATCATCTTGGTTGCTTTTCTCCAGACTCTTTCCAGAGTCTCAACATCTTTTTTTAATAATAGGGTGACCAAAACTGGATGCAGGATTCCAAGTGTGGCCTTACCGAAACCTTATAAAGTGATATTAATACTTCACGTGATCTTGATTCAATCCCTCTGTTAATGCAGCCTAGAACTGTGTTGGCTTTTTTGGCAGCTGCAGCACATGGCTGGCTCATATTTAAGTGATTGTCCATTAGATCCCGGGTGCGGAGAGGGCTTAGGTGGTGGTGGCGGCAGCGGCTCCTCACATGGGGAGTGAAGTCATTGTGGCCATTGTCTGCCCTCAGCTGAGCTGAGAGGGGGGACCAGCCGCGAATCATGGGGCCTGCATTGTTTGTTGAAGCCGCCGGGCAAATTCCCCCGCCCCCCCCAGACCGTCCCAAAGAGGTTTGTTCCTCAGGCTGTGCTTCAACCCAGATCCCCGCTGCCTGGAACTGCCCAAAAATGTCCGAAGGGTGGAGGCCAGCGGGTAGGCGGGGCTACATTCGGACGATAAGATTCATCCAGATTTTCACCGTCTTTTTGGGGGTAAAATGGTGCGTCTTATACTCCAAAAAATACGGTAAGTGATAGTCCACTAGGACTCCAAAGTTCCTCTCACAGTTACTGTTGTTGAGCCAGCTACCACCTATACCTGTGATGACAAACCTATGGCACACGTGCCAGAAGTAGCATGCAGAGCCATCTCTCCAGACACGCCAGTCATCATTGGTTGCTCTTTCAGGTTCCAGCATGCACATGCGTGGTGCAGGGGTGAGTTCTACTTACCTTTACTACCGGTTTGCAATGGGGTCGCCCCCGCATGCTCGCTTTGCTGACACACATGCGCAGAAGCGTTCTGATGACGTCGGGGTCAGTGGGCAGAGCCCCCCACTGCTTTTACTACCGGTTCTATAGAACTGGTGCGAATCGGGGGCAACTCACCACTGGTGTGGAGCAGTGGTGGGTTCCTCCTGGTTCGGTCCAGTTCGGCCGAGCCGGTAGCAGTGATGATATGACGTCACCGAACCGGTTCTCGCCCCCGCCCTCCCCCCCACCCCCGTTATTCTTACCTTTTATTTGGCCCCACCCCCAATCTATTGCTGCCTCCTGAGTCCCAGCTGATGACTGGAGGGAAAAAAAACTGTTTAAACTCTTGCCGCGGGGCTTCAAAGGGCCGCCCTACAGCTGATCAGTGTTAAAAGCAAACAAATGAGTTGGGTCGTAAGTGCGAGGACTGGTCGTAAGTGTGAGGACCTTCCAGAAATGACTCTGACCAGCTAGCCACGCCCACCTAGTCACATGACCTCCAAGCCACACCCACAAAATAAGCCACACCCACAGAACCAGTAGTAAAAAAACTTAGAACCCACCCCTGGTGTGGAGGCCAGCTGGTCTTTGCGTGGGCATGCCTGCCAAAAACCGGAAGACCAGATGACCGGTGCACATGTGCACACTGGAAATCTCTAGGAGTCTCTGGAGGCTGTGGATAGCAAAAAAGTCACTTCCTGTCCAACCGGAAGTTGGGAAATGGACTGTTTCTGGCTTCCAGAGGGTCTCCGAGAGGGTGGGGAAGGCTGTTTTTGCCCTCCCTAGACTCATAGAGAGGCTCTGGAGCCAGTGAGAAAAAGGGGCCTTCCCCACACACCCCAGGCCCTCCGGAGGCAGGAAACAGCCTGTTTCCCTGCTTCTGGTAGGCCCAGAAGGCCTGAAAATCAGCTGGCTGGCGCATGCATGCGTGCCGGAGCTGAGCTCATTTGCCCACTAATATGGCTATGCGTGCCATCTGTGGCACGTGTGCCATAGGTTTGCCATCACGGGTATAGGTGGTACCTGTCTTGATAGTAGTAAGAGGGATCTAATGGACAATCACTTAAATATGAGTGAGCAGTGTGCAGCAGCAGCCAAAATAGCCAACACAATCCTAAACTGCATTACTAGAGAGAAAGAATCAAGATCACATGGTGTTAATACCACTTTAATACAATACAATTGTCTGAAGATTGATCATGGGGATGCTGCAATGGTCATAAGTCACTTTTTCCAGTGCTGTCGTAACTTTGAATGGTCACTAAACGAATGCTTGCAAGTCGAAGTCTCCCTGTACAGTAGTGGCCAAAATTGCAGAAACCTTTTGGGAAAAGTGTATATTTAAGGTTTGATGGCTAATAACACAACTTTTTTTGGGAGTTTCCAGCATTCACTGGGACTTGCCCAGACTTTCATAACCCAACTGAAAATCTAGGGAGCCGACTAAAGAAACTTGTTAGTCAGAAGCGACCCAGCAATAAAACCCAGTTAATAGAAGCCATCATTCAATCTCGGCTTCACATTATAAACAGCTGCAGAACTAAAAGACTTGGTTCACTCCATGGGAAGATGTTGTAAGGCCGTCATTCATGCTAAAGGTTACCCAACTAACTATTAAATGACATGATAATTTTTGTATATCTTGTTTTTTTCTATGGTGATCATTTTTGTATATCTCGTTTTTTCTACGTGTTTCACTTTCCTTCTTTATACTGTCACTGCTATTCTAACAGCAAATCCTTCCTAAAAGTGATTGCATTGCATTCTTGATTAAATTATCTTTCCATTGATATATAATTTTATGGTACTACTCCCCCCCCCAAAAAAAGTGGTTTTATTAGCTAGTTTTAGAAAACACTTTTCCCAAAAAGGTTTCCACAATTTTGGCCACCACTATATGTGCTATCCTATACGATTACATTTTTTTTGGCAGTATAATTCCCCTTCATTCCTGTTGTGGTTCCGTTGCCTGAGCCTGGGCTATCGACAGATGCAGACTCTGAGAGTGAGGGGGAGGAGTTGGCAAGGCCTCCCACTCCAAGACCCTCCTCTCTGGCAATGCCACCGGAGGACACCAAAGGCCAAACGATAGGCTCAGAGCCAAGCATGTCCCCACAGCCACAGGTGGACAGCGATGAAGAAGATAAGTGCTGGCTGGACCCTCAGCAGAGGCGCAGGGAGAAGCGTGCGCAGAAGAGGGGAAGGCGTGCCAGAGATTAGCTGAGTCACTGGACCACACCCCACAGGGTATAAATGTGGGTGTGGTGGCCGGTTCAGTTTGTGACGAGCAAAAACTAGAAATAATCCATGATCTCTGCGTTACTGGACTTTGCCTGCTTTATTGGACTGCATTTGGATTAATCCTTGTATTGTTGAAACTCTGCCTGTTTTATCGGAATGCTTGCAGTCTAATCTTTGTTTTGTGTGAGTAAAGTCTGAATTGGCAGCTAGCCACTGGGTTGCTGCCAGCTTTATCTTCAAAGAATTTTGTCGTGTGGCTTATTAACTCCGGGCCGTCCGTGGGGGTGCGTGTGTGGGATGGGGACAGAACAATTCCCTATTATCCTTTCTCCAATCTCCAGAAATGAAAAAAAGCCACCAATTAAAAAAAGAAAAGAAAAGAAAAGAAAGAAAAACGCCCAGCCTCTTTTCGAAAACACGACACCGGATCTGGAGGGATCTCCGGAGATGAAGAAAATTGTGGATCATTTTCAGTGTCTGATTCAAGGCCATCCAATTAACAGCGAAATATCACATTTCCCCACAGCTCACCGGTGGGTGGGGAGGGGGAAAAAGTCTCTTTAGCAAATTACCTGGGCAAAGGGCGATATTGCAGAATTTGGTTTGCTTCTCGGGACCTTCGCAGGGGCTTCCTCCGAACTGGGGAGGTTTGCATATCCGGGTGCGATCTCGGTATCCCCGTCCGCACGTCGACGAGCAGAGACTCCATGGAGACCATTCATCCCAAGTGCCGTGGACTGTAATGAAAGGGAACAGCTCAGCGCAAGGGAAGCCTTCTCAGCTCTATATCAGCTCACTGTTTTAATTCCATTTATTTTGTCCGACCCACGTATCTTATTCAAGAAGAATTCCAAAGTCAAGATAAACAATAATGGAGACAAGGGACATCCTTGTCTTGTTCCTTTTTCAATATTAAAAGTATCTGTTAAACTACCATTAATTATTATTTGCGCTGTTTGTTTCTGATATATCGCCTTAATAGATTGTGTAAAATATTCTCCAAACTGCACCTTTTCTATTATTTTCAATAGGAAGTGCCAATTCAATCGATCAAATGCTTTCTCCGCATCAAGAAATATTAGCGCCGCAGGGATTTGGTTGTTCTTCCCCAAATACTCTAATAGGTTAACCACTTGCCTTACATTACTCTTCATTTGTCTACCATTTATAAAGCCAGTTTGATCATTATGAATCATTTGTTGCATGACTGTCATTAACCTATTTGCTAGTATTTTAGCAAAAATCTTATAATCTGTATTTAAGAGTGATATAGGCCTATAAATTTTTGGCTGGGTGTGGTCTTGCTCCTCCTTTGGAATCAGAGAAATAAAAGCTGTCCTCCAGGATGGGGGTACATCTGCTCCAGATTGGATGTTGGTAAATAACTCTTTGAGTGGTCCCACCATTTCTGACTGCAAGTGTTTATAATAAGCAGCTGTCAAACCATCCGTCCCAGGGGATTTACCCACTTTCAACTGTTTAATTGCAAACATAATCTCTTCAGAAGTTATTGGTTGATTTAAACCCATCAGCTCACTGTTGATGATATATTGATTAATTCCTTATTTCTTGGATATTCATCCCCGCCTTTCTTGTTCTTTATCAGTATCTCAAGGTAGCGAACACATCTAAGACTTCTTTTTGCCTCCTATTTAACTCACAACAACAATCTTGTGAGGTGGGTTGAGCCGAGAGAGAAGGACTGGCTCCAAGTCACCCAGTAGGCTTTCATGCCAAATGCGGGACTAGAATTCACTGTCTCCTGGTAATTGGTGCAATGTCACCCAGTCAGCTTTCATGCCTAATGGGGGACTAGAAGTCACAGTCTCCTAGTGATTGGCCCAAAGTCACCTAGATAGCTTTCATATTGGGCATGAACTAGAACTCACCGTCTCCTAGTCATGTCATTAGCCAGCTTTCCTGTCTAATGGGGGACTAGAAGTCACAGTCTCCTGGTGATTGGCCCAAAGCCACCTAGATGGTTTTCATGCCAAGGTGAACTAGAACTCACCATCTCCTGGTGATTGGCTCAAAGTCATCTAAATGGTTTTCATGCCCAAGGTGAACTAGAACTCACCATCTCCTGGTGATTGGCCCAAAGCCACCTAGATGGTTTTCATGCCCAAGGTGAACTAGAACTCACAGTATCCTAGTGATTGGCCCAAAGTTACCCAGCCAGCTTTCATGCCTAATGTGGGACTGGAACTCACAGTTTCCTGGTGATTGGCCCAAAGTCACCTAGATAGCTTTCGTACTGGGCATGAACTAGAACTCACCATCTCCTAGTCATGTCATTAGCCAGCTTTCCTGTCTAATGAGGGACTAGAAGTCACAGTCTCCTGGTGATTGGCCCAAAGCCACCTAGATGGTTTTCATGACGAAGGTGAACTAGAACTCACCATCTCCTTGTCATTGGCCCAAAGTCACCCAGGTAGCTTTCCTGTCTAAGGCAAGACTAGAACTCCCAGTCTCCTGGTTCCTAGTCCAGCACCTAAGCCAAACCGGCTGTCTTTTTATAGCCTCTTTGTTCTGCATTCCACCTTCCCCATTTATTCTGCGCAAATTAAATAGCTGGAGACAATTTTTTTTTTAGATCTGCGTAGATCAACGTGTTGCAGTGACAACCACAGGGATGGGAGACATAACAAATCTTGATTAGTTATCCTGATTGCCACCGGACTCTCCAGAGAAAGTGGGGGAAAAGCCTCTATTTTCCACTTATAAGCTCCTAGTAAATTGCAGCTTCGTTTTTAGCAGAAACCAATTTGTTCTTTTCTGACTGCAGGATAAGCAAGTCTGCACACTTGCCGTCCGAGACCTTCATATTATTCATATTCAGCGAACATTTTTAACCGTAATTTCTGCCTTCATTTGCAACTCTAAGGACTCCCCCACGAGTACGTTTCAAATTCAAATAAAAGTAATACTTTTTCACCCGCAATTTTGGCATCGATTTGCAATTCTAAGAACGCTCCTTAAAGCCCCTTTTTGATTCCGCTAAAGCTCGCGTTTTCCTTACAAGTCGTATTTAAATATGTATTTTGAGGAGGCTCGGCTCTTGAAATTTGTATTCAAACATTATTAGCGGTAGCCCTGCTTATTTTTATTTAATCTGTACAAGAGTTCGCCTTGCAAAGAACCTACGAAAAGGAATGCCAATTAAAACACCAAAGCATCCATTATAAAATATGTAAACATGTCAAGTCACTGCTGCAGATATAATACGGAGACTATTTTCAGGGGCACATTTGAAGGCATTCACTCTCTTTTTTAATTCGCCTTTCAAAATTTAGTTTTAAACTGGGGGATTCCCAAAAGGGGATCAAATTATTCTCCCAAACACCAGAGGACAAGACAAGAAACAACGGTTGGAAACTAATCAAAAGAAAGAAGCAACCTGGAATTAAGGAGAACCTTCCTAATAGTGAGGACAATTAACCAGTGGAACAGCTTGCCACCAGAAGTTGCAAATGCTCCATTGCTGGAGGTTTTCAAGAAGAGATTGGACAGCCATCAGTCTGAAATGGTATAGGTTCTCCTGCTTGAGTGGGGAGGGCTGGACTAGAAGACCTCCAAGGTCCCTTCCAGCTCTAATCTATTCTAAAATATTCCATCATGGACACTCAAGCTCCAAAGAAGCCATTCAGATGTTCCAGCAATTGTCCGAGTTTAATTCCTGAATTCTTATGATCAAAAATTGAACCCCAAAGTGAGACGGTTGCTAAGTGAATTTTGCCCCATTTTACAACCTTCTTGCCAGAGTTGTGAAGCGAATTGCGGCAGTCGTTTCAGTTAGTAACGTGGCTGTTAAGTGAATCTGGCTTTCCCCCCCCATGGACTTTGCTTGTCAGAAGGTCGCAAAAAGGGATGACATGGACCCCCCCCCCACGGGACACTTCAACCGTCATAAATATGAGTCAGTTGCTAAGAGCCTCGATTTTGATGAGTTGACCATGGGGAGGCTACAACAGTCGTGTGAAATACGGTGTTGTAAATTTGCATGGCCACTAAATGAATGGTTGTAAATCAAGGACTACCTGAAGTTCAAAACAGGCTCTTTGGGATCCAATGCATTGGCTGTGTCAACCTCTGGCCTCTGCAGATCATTTATTAGTTAATTAATTAAATACAATTCATTCTATAAATCATTGCATTCGAAGTTCCTCATGCTGTGATGTGATGTTGAAAATTAGGAGGTGGTAGACTACCGGCTGATCTGGTAGTTCTGGTGCAGGAGAATATTTGTGGCTCAAGGTTGAACTGTGGGGTCCTGGGTGGTCTCTGATCTTGGTGGGGTTTTTTTGCAGACATTTCATGACCCAACTAGGTAACATTATCAGTACTTGAAGGGAGAGGGGTTTGTCTCTGTTTATTTTATATAAGTGGTTTGCTCTGTCACATCAAGAACACTCCCATCAATACTGACAGGGTAAACCACCAGTATATAAATGAAGAGCAAACCCCACTCCCCCTCCTCCTCCTCCTCCTCCTCCTCCTCCTCCTCCTCTATTCTAGCACTGATGATGTTACCTAGTTGGATCATGAAACATCTACAGGAAAACCACTAAGCTCAGAGAGCACCAAGGAGCCCACCACCACTCCTCCTCCTCCTCCTCCTCCTCCTCCTCCTCCTCCTCCTCCTCCTCCTCCTCCTCCTCCTCCTCCTCTTCCTCCTCCTCTTCCTCCTCCTCCATTCTAGCACTGATGATTTTTTCTAGCTGGATCATGAAACATCTATGGGAAAACCACTAAGCTCAGAGAGCACCAATGACTCCACAGTCGTCGTCCTCCTCCTCCTCCTCCTCCTCCTCCTCCTCCTCCTCCTCCTCCTCCTCCTCCTCCTCCTCCTCCTCATCCCACTCTCTTCTAGCACTGATGATGTTCCCTAGTTGGGTAATGAAACATTTGCAAAAATACAACCAAGCTCAGAGCACTAAGGACCACACAATCTTCCTCCTCCTCCTCTCCTCCTCCTCCTCCGCAAGTCCCACTCTCTTCTAGCACTGATGATGTTTCTAGTTGGGTCATGAAACAGGAAAACAACCAAGCTTAGAGACCGTTAAGGATCCCAACAGTCCTCCTCCTCCTCCTCCTCCTGCTCCTCCTCTCCACAAACCCCACTCCCTTCTAGCACGGATAATATTACCTAGTTGGGTCATGAAACATCTGCAAGAAAACAACCAAGCCTAGGACCCCACAGATCTGATGGATCTTAAACTTCCGAAGTCTTCTCTACCATACAGCCAGAATTTTATCTCAAGAGTTGAATGGGATTCACTCCTAGGTGTGAGCCCAAATGTCATAACGTAATTCTTGATGTCATCACACAGATGATATACAACTTGCGCTATCCGTATCATTTGCCCAAGAACATCAGAGTAAACATGGCATCTTTGTGGCTTGTTAAGGATATATAATGCTTTTAAAGAAGTGTTGATAAGGCCCCGTCCAAGTTTCCATAGATATACAGTATACTCTTGGAGATGAGAATCAATCCGGTATTTTAATGAGAACACAAAACAAATTATCCCTCTAACATCCCACTGCAACCATCTTACTGGTTTGCCCTTTTCAAGAGCACACATTGAATTATTTTTACAACGGAAAACATATGCTTGTGGGTGAAATTTCTCAGGCAGGCAGGAACCATGAGGTGATATATATATATATATTTTCCATTGTGACTTGGAACGGAGTCCAAGTTCCTTGTAATCCTTTCAGAAATAACACAAGTGAGGGGAAACTATCCAATTAAAAAAAAAAGAACATCTGTACCTAAGGAGTTCAATCGTGGCTTTCTTGGTTCTTTTTGAACTTATCTGTTGATTTGAAGTTGTTTCATTACCCGACTAGATTAACCTCATCAGTCCAACTATCTTCATCAGTAAACTGTATGAAGAATGGTTGTGGGAACTTGGGATGTCTAGTCTAATGAAGAGAAGGACTAGGAGTGACATGATAGCAGTTTTGCGATAGTCACAGAGAGGAGGGTGTCAATCTATTTTCCAGAGAATGTCAGAAGCTTAATGAGAGATTGAACCTACAGTAGTGGCCAAAATTGTGGAAACCTTTTGGGAAAAGTGTATTTTCTAAAACAAGCTAAAAACACCACTAATTTTTTTTTTTTGGAGTACCCTGATTCCCCGAAAATAAGACATCTCCTGATAATAAGCCCAATCAGGCTTTTGAGCACATGCGCTAAAATAAGCCTCCCCCCCCGAAAATATTTAAATGCAGAGCTGGAAATCAGGTAAGACGCCCATCTTGCTCCATGCACCCCCAAAATAATAAGACCTCCCCGAAAATAAGGCCGAGTGCTTATTTCAGAGTTCAAAAAAATATAAGACACGGTCTTATTTTCGGGGAAACACGGTAGTACCATAAAATTATATATCAATGGAAAGATAATTTAATCAAGAATGTAATGCAATCACTTTTAGGAAGGATTTGCTATTAGAATAGCCATTATAGTATAAATAAAAAAAGTGAAAAACGTAGAAAAAACGAGATATACAAAAATGATCACCCACATCAGTTAATACTCAGTTGGGTAACTTTTAGCATGAATTACAGCCTTACAACTCCTTCCCATGGAGTGAACCAAGTCTTTGAGTTCTGCAGCTGTTCTCATGTGAAACTAAGATTGAATGATGGCTTCTATTAACTGGGTTTTATTGCCGGGTCGCTTCTGACCAACAAGTTTCTTTAGTCGGCTCCATAGATTTTCAATTGGGTTAAGAAGGTCTGGGCTATTCCCAGGCCATTCCAGCAGTGGAATAGGATTATCTTGAAACTCCAAAAAAGTGGTGTTATTAGTCATCAAACCTCAAAAATACACTTTTCCCAAAAGATTTCCACAATTTTGGCCAGTACTGTAGAAGTAAAGATACATTTCTTAATAGAACAATTCATCAGTGGAACGGATTGCCTCCAGAAGTTGAGGGTGCTTCATCACTGGAGGTTTTGAAGAAGAGATTGGTTAGCCATTGATCTGGAGTGACTTAAGGTCTCCTGTTTAAGCAAGGAAGACCTCCAAGGTCCCTTGCAACTCTGTTATTCTGTATTCTCCCAACTAGTTGGATAACAGATGCACTGGTGATGTTACGTAGTTGGATAATGAAACATCATCATGCAATAAAGAAGCTTAGAGAACACCAAGATCTCTGCAGGCTAAAACTATTCCAGAATGGTTGTGCTTAGTGTGCATTATTTATACAGATTGCAGAATTCTGCAGTTTCCCACCGGATTTGCTTCTGAAGCTTCTTTCAGCAGGAAGCAGACCCTGCCCAAGTGTCTGGAAGAGAGAAGGGGGAATAATGGGGGGGAGGGGGTGTTGTGAAGGTCATCACCTGGACAGACAGCAGAATTGTTGCATTGCCGTTGTTCGCGGAGGGGCCCACTGCATTGGGTGCTGTACGAGTACGACACACAGAACCGAGTCCTACTTTGCCAGCCCTCCCCACAGGTGGTCGAACAGACGCTCCAGGGCGACCACTCTTCCGCCGCTGGATCACCTGTCAAGGTGCAGAACACAGGAGACTTCCTTATCTTTGTCCACCCACTGGGTCTGCAATTTTTTTTTTTTATTTATTTTTTGCGTTAGAGAGACGTAGAGACGGGTCAAGAGAGACGCGGCATGGATTCTCAAGGTCCGTGTTTTTTTTTGTTTTTTTTTAAATTTGATTTATATGCCGCCCTTCTCCGAAGACTCAGGGCGGCTTACAATGTGCTCAGCAATAGCCTTCATACTTTTGTATATTTATACAAAGTCAGTTTATTGCCCCCACAATCTGGGTCCTCATTTTACCTACCTTAGAAAGGATGGAAGGCTGAGTCAACCTTGAGCCTTGGAGAGATTCGAACTTGCAGTAATTGCAGGCAGCTGGTCTTAATAACCAGCTTAATAACAGGGTGCCTTAAACCCCTGTACTACCAAGGCTCTATAGTGTTGGCGAACGTGTGCCGGAAGCGGCACGCAGAACCATCCCATGTGGGGTGCACAGCCTCGCTGGCTCCTCTTCCACATTCTTGTGCACACGTGCGTGCCGGTCAGCTGGCCGGTGCACATGTGGAAGCGCCAAAACCTGGAAGAGCAGTGTTTTATCATGCATGCGTGCGCCAGCACCCGAACTTCTGGGTTTCCATCGTGCAAATGCACGACAGCCAGCTATTCGTCGGGTGCGCCTCCGTACTGAAAACAGGAAGTTTGGGTTCCAGCACGCGCATGCACAATGAAATGCTTCTCTTCTGGGTTTCGGTGCTCCCATGTGTGTGAAGGCCAGCAAAGACATATGGTCTAGGTGGGATGGTTTTGCGTGCCATTTTTTTTTTTTTAATTTGATTTATATGCCGCCCTTCTCCGGAGACTCAGGGCGGCTTACAATGCGTTAAGCAATAGCCTTCATCCTTTTGTATATTTTATACAAAGTCAGCTTATTGCCCCCACAAACTGGGTCCTCATTTAACCTACCTTAGAAAGGATGGAAGGCTGAGTCAACCTTGAGCCTGGGGAGATTCGAACCAGCAGAAATTGCAGGCAGCTGTGTTAATAACAGGGTGCACTATACCACTGTACTATCAAGGCTCTTGGTCAGCATACGGTGACGTAAAAGGTTAACCTTCATTGCTCTAGGTTGTGATCTCTCTTGGGAGCCAATGTTTCTTCTTTGACCTTACGTGGGACAATGGGAACGGGGAGCATTTCCTTCTCTGAGATGTCAAGGTCAAAACTAGGCAATTATACAAGCTATATAAATAATGCAGGTAGCAAACGGGGGTGTATTAAGCAAGAATTCAATTACAGGCAGTCCTTAAGAAACGACTGTATTGGGATCTGCCCATTGCAGTCGTATATCGTAATAGTAACTTGTCGCCTGAATGACCTGTTTTTACGACTATTTTTGCAGCGTTGTTAAGTAAATCCAATGTTATTAAGTGAACCAATGGTTTGTTATCGACACAGTATTGCCGAAACCCGAAATAAGTGTTGGTTTTCAGCAAAAAAAAATTAAAAATCATAAAATGTGGTCGTAGGACCAGGGGAGACTGCAATTGTGCATAAATGCAGCCATGTCACTGAACACATTTTGCTTCTCCTCCAAGAAGCTTCTTCAGTTCTGACTTTCCAAACCGAAGAAGCTGCTTGGATGAAAAGCGAAACATCTGTAGGGAAAAACAAAGAAAAGTCCAGTTGCCTTTTGGGGAAAAAAAAAAGCAAGAATTATGCATGGGGTTAAACCAATCATCCTGTCTTTATCTGGGTTAATCAAGTGTGCTAACGGACCCGGTGTAGCACATCTGAGCTGCAAAACTCTGCAGTGATGCTAGGTGGGAGCCAAGAGTTTTCTTTACTGGCTAGTTGAGGAATTCTGGGAACTGAAGTCCAGAAGTCTTAAAGTTGCCAAGTTTGGAGACCCTGGTTTAGAGTCATTACACAGCCACGAAGTCCCATCCCCCTTGGTTGCTGTTGACTGTAATCGAGCTCTAAGCAGGTGCTGAGCATTAGCTGAGAAGATTCCTTCATGTATGGACCTGAGTTTTGCACCTGGCAATAAGTTCCCCTATATATGCAGTATAGCAGTGGTGAAATCCAAATTTTTTGTACTACCAGTTCTGTGGGCATGCTTGATGGGCATGGCAGGGGAAGGATACTGCAAAATCTCCATTCCCACCCCACTTTGGGGGCCAGTCAGAGGTGGTATTTGCCGGTTCTCCTGAACAGCTCAAAATTTCCAGTATAGGTTCTCCAGAATTTGTCAGAACCTGCTGGATTTCACCCCTGCAGTACAGGTTGTCCTTGACGTATGACTACTGTAGTGCCCAAAATTTATGTTTGCTAAGTGAGGAATTTGTTAAGTGAGTTTTGGCCCCATTTTACGGACTTTTTCTTGCCACATTTGTTAACTGAATCACTGCAGTTGTTAAATGAGTAACTCGGTTGTTAAGTGAATCTGGTTCCCCCATGGAGTTTATTTTTATTTTTATTTTATTAGTCATATTTCTATGCCTCCCACTCTCCGAGGACTCTGCAGCTCACACCAAAGACAGTATACTAAATAGCAGATTGCCCCCCAACAATCTGGGTCCTCATTTTACCCACCTCGGAAGGAAGGAAGGCTGAGTCAACCTTGAGCCGGTGAGATTTGATCCGCTGATCTGCTGAACTAGGCAGTCAGCTGAAGTAGCTGCAGTACTGCACATCTAACCACTGCGCCACCTCAGCTCACTGCCGATTTGCTCCTCTGAAGGTTACAAAAGGGGATCATGTGACCCCCTCATGTCATATGACATTGCAACCGTTCATAAATGTGAGTCTGTTGTTAAGCATTCGAATATAAATCACGTACCGTGCGGATGCTGCAGCGGTCATAAGTGTGAAAAATGGTCGTAGGTCACTTTTTTCAGTGCCATTGTAACTTTGAATGGTCATGAAATGACCTTGGTAGTACAGTGGTCTAAAGCACCCTGTTATTAAGACCAGATGCCTGCAATTACTGCAGGTTCGAATCTCGCCAAGGCTCAAGGTTGACTCAGCCTTCCATCCTTTCTAAGGTAGGTAAATTGAGGACCCAGTTTGTGGGGGCAATAAGCTGACTTTGTATAAATATACAAAAGGATGAAGGCTATTGCTGAGCACATTGTAAGCCGCCCTGAGTCTCCGGAGAAGGGCGGCATATAAATCAATTTTTTTTAAAAAAATGAACTATTGTAAGTCAAGGACTGCCTGTACTCCTCCTGGTATCAGCAATTGCCCATCAGCAATTGTTATATAGACAGCTGCCAAATTGAGAAGGATACTATCTTCTCAGGTAGTATAAGGTTCCAATACTACAGGACACTTCCTACGCTACCAGTAGAAGAGAACAGTTGTGGCTCAGGGTTGAACTGTGGGGTCCCTTGGTGCCCCCCGATCTTGGTTCTTTTCTTGCAGATGTTTCATTACCCAATTAGGTACCACCCTTAGCACTGATGCTGTCACCTCGTTGGGTAATGAAATGTCTAAAAGAAAATAACCAAGCTCAGAAAGGGCTTCACAGTCACATTGCTATTCACACCCAAATTGTTTGCTTAACTGATGGATGCACCTCTTGTGCGAATCTCCCCAATTGGGTGAATTTTATATCCTTACGAATCTTCATAAGAGCCGCGGTGGCACAGCGGTTAGAGCAGGAGTGAAATGTAAAATTTGTTACTACCGGTTCTGTGGTCATGTGACTGGGTGGGCGTGGCCACCTTTTTTTTTTTTAACTTTTCAAAGCATTTTTTCTAATGCTTTGAAAAGCCTCTGCCGATCAGGCAACTCAGCTGGGATCATCAGAGAGGCTTTTTAAAAAAATATGTCTCTGACGATCAGGCAGCTCAGCTGGGATCATCAGAGACTTTTCAAAGCATTTTTTTTTTACCACCTCTTCGGCCAAGAGGTTGCAGACAAAAATCTTTGAAAAGCCTCTGAGGATCCGTGCAATCATCAGAGGCTTTTTTTTTATTTTTAAAAGCATTTTTTCGTTGGAAGAGGATGTAGAAAAAATGCTTTTAAAAGTAAAAAAAAAAAAGCCTCTGATGATCGTGAGGCTCAGCTGGGCATGGAGGGGGACGTGCGCAGGGATTTTTGCTACCGGTTCTCCGAACCACCCGCCTCCATCGCTACCGGATCGGGCGATCCGGTCCGAACCGGAAGCATTTCACCCCTGGGTTAGAGTGCAGTACTGTAGGCTACTTCTGCTGATCACCGGCTGCCAGCAGTTTGGCAGTTCGAATCTCACCAGGCTCAAGGTTGACTCAGTCTTCTGTTCTTCCAAGGTTGGTAAAATGAGGACCCAGATTGTTGGGGGCAGATATGCTGATTCTGTAAACGGCTTAGAGACGGCTGTAAAGCACTGTGAAGCGGTATATAAGTCTAAATGCTATTGCTATTGCTATAACCAGGCTAAGGATGTCGGTCTAAGACAGTCCAATAATGTCTTAGAAGTGAACATCTGGTGGCCAATGAACTCTCAGTTTTTTAATCTTCCCTTTTTGTTTCTTCTGCCTTAATGGCAGGGGTGAAATGTTCCCGGTTCGGCCCGGTTCGGCTGAGCCGGTAGCAATGACAGCCGGTGGTTTGGAGAACCGGTAGCGAAGACAGCTAGAGGCTCCACCCACCCTCCCAGTTGTCATTACTTCCTGGTTTTAGTAACCTGTTTTTTACCCTCTGCACATGTACTTTCGAACCAGTAGGGAAGGTAAGTAGATTTCACCCCTGCCTAATGGAAATTCAAATCAGTTAATTTGAACCTTCACATAAGGACCTATTTTCTGCACCTCCATCAGCGATGGAGGCGGGTGGTTCGGAGAACTGGTAGCAAAAATCCCTGCGCAACCCCCCTCCCAATCCCCAGCTGAGCCTCACGATCATCAGAGGCTTTTTTCCTTTTTTTACTTTTAAAAGCATTTTTACTACAACCTCTTCAGCCAAAAAAAATGCTTTTAAAAATAAAAAAAAAGCCTCTGATGATCGTGTGGCTCAGCTGGGATCGTCAGAGCCTTTTGAAAGCATTTTTTAACAACCTCTTTGCCGACGAGGTTGCAAAAAAAATGGTTTTAAAAGTAAAAAACAAAAATTGGCCCCGCCCACCCAGTCACATTACCCCCCCCCCACCAAGCCACGCCCACAGAACCGGTAGTAACGAATTTTAGATTTCACCACTGGCCTGATCCCCCGTTCTTGGTCTCTTGCATTTATTTCAGTCTAACATTTTGGGCTACGTACCGATCTGAGGTGCAGGATATCCGTATTGCTGGAAGTCTTCCATGTCATCTTTTTTCCGGTTATCCGTAGACCGTAAAGACTGACTCCGGGAATTATAGTGTATATTAGCTAGAAAAAAAAAAAGAAAAAGAAAAAGAAGGGAGAAAAAAGAAGAATCTAGATGAACACGCCTGCAAAATCTTCTTCTCCAAACTTTTGCTTGAAAGGCAGAACAAGGGGGGAAAAAAATCACATTATTGGAAGACAGGCCCTTTTTATCAAGGTGAGGCTGAATGTAAGATCTGCACATCCTTCGGAAGGAAGATCAGAAGACAAACAATAAAGACTCCATTATATGTCCCCATCCCTGATCTAAGGTGACCTAAACTTCCATTATAAAGAGAAATTGTTCAGGAGGCTATGCCTACTTTTCTTTTGAGATAAATGCAGTAAGAAAGCAGGACTGAAATAATCCATATAGAGCTGACTTTTGTTTTTGTTTTTTTTAAAAAAGGGAAGAACATACAGTTAGTGGCCAAAATTGTGGAAAGCATTTTGGGAAAAGTGTGTTTTCTAAAACTAGCTAATAACACCACTTTTTTGGGAGGGGGGGAGTAGTACCATAAAATAATATATCAATGGAAAGATAATTGATCCCATCCTCTCAGTTTTAATTGAATTTGGTTTTAATTGGGTTATTTTAAATTACTGGGCCGAAATTATTTAATTGTTTTTAACCTGTTTTTTAATTAATTTATTTTTTTTAATTTTATATGTTATGTTTTATCTCGGCTGTGCACCGCCCTGAGTCCCGCAGGAGAAGGGCGGTATAGAAATATAATAAAATAAATAAATAATAAATAAATAATTGAATCAAGAATGTAATGCAATAACGTTTAGGAAGGATTTGCTATTAGAATAGCAGTTAGCGTATAAAGGAGAAGAGTGAAACACATAGAAAAAACAAGATATACAAAAATGATCACCATAGAAAAAAACAAGATATACAAAAATGATCACTGCATCAGTTAATACTTAGTTGGGCAACCTTTAGCATGAATTACAGCCTTACAACACCTTCCCATTGAGTGAACCAAGTCTTTGAGTTCCGCAGCTGTTCTAATGTGAAACCAAGATTGAATGATGGCTTCTATTAACTGGGTTTTATTGCTGGGTCGCTTCTGACTAACCAGTTTCTTTAGTCAGCTCCATAGGTTTTCAGTTGGGTTAAGAAGGTCTGGGCTGTTCCCAGGCCAATCCAGCAGTGGAATAGGATTATCTTGAAACTCTCCCAAAAAAGTGGTGTTATTAGCCATCAAACCTCCAAAACACACTTTTCCCAAAAGGTTCCCACAATTTTGGCCACTACTGTATCTCTCTCATTAGAATCAATAAGGAGGATATTGAAGAGTCAGTCAACCATCAACATTACAGAATATTTAAAAAAATAGAACAATCACGTTGGAAGGGGCCTTAGATATCTTCTAATCCAACCCCCTCCAGTGATGGAGCACTCAAAAGCTCTGGAGGCCAGCTCTTTCATTCGTGACTGCAAGGAATATTGAACAATTAAACCGCAAGGAAAGTTCACCTGGGGACAACAGAACAACCCCTGGATGGGCTCCATATCACTCTGAAGTCCCCAGGCCCAATGGGAAAACCAGGAGTGGGATTCAGCCAGTTTGGACTTATTCAGGCGAACCAGATGCTAATTTTACATCTGGTTCACCGAACCGGTAGTTTCAATGACTGGCTGGCTCCGCCCATGCAGCCCCTCCCAGGAGTCTGCACGCGGCCCGTTTTGGATGCCAGGTAAGTGCAGGGCCCGCCCAGAGGGTCTAGGAGGGCGAAAAATGGCCTCCCGTAAGTTCTGGAAGTCCGGAGAAAAGCCCATTTCCAGCCTCCAGAGGGCTTCTGGAGCCCAGGGGAGGCCATTTTCGCCCTCCCTGAGGCTTGAGGAAAACCTCCGGAGCTTGGGAAGGGCAAAAACGTCCCCTCTGCCATAGTGCAGGAGGCCGAGTAGGTCACTCCCACCATGGTCATGTCCACTCAGCAATCGGGCAGAGAACCGGTTGCTAAAAACAACAAGAAAGACCAGTTGCCTCCTGAAAAAAAGCACCTTTGGGACAACCATGACTGAATGACTGAGAATCTCTACAGACTTTTAGCTATGCAATTTGGGTGTCAGCACTTCAAGCTGCATTTCCTCTAGTGCTGACATAAGAAGGAGAAGCGGAGGCGTCTGGAAAGGGACGTTTGACTTTTCACCTACTTATTTTCCCTGGAGATAATATCCCCTAGGAGATGGGATGGGAGGGGGGAAATTCCTTTGAGCTGGAGCAGTAGATTAGGGGTAGAATGACTTGGAAGATGGCCAATGAGTGCAGGGGAGTGGGGAACGGAAAGGGAGGGTTTTGGGTCTGGAAGTCAGTGTTGGCTTCGATGGAGTCGGGATTTAGAATGTCGTGCTTAATAAATAGGAGTTTTCCTTCAAAGACTTTGTTTGAAATGCAATTTATTTGAGACGACCTCGAAACCTGACATTGGGATGAACACCCTTGGAACGGCGTGGGATTATGAATGGATTTCGAGAGGGAAAAAATTGTAGAGTACAGGAACCATTTACACCGCTCAGGTGTCCCTGAAGACCCAGATAAACCTCCAAGTGGCCTCAACGACTCTCTCTAAAAGGATGCAAATGACCAGAATGCTGTCTGCAAGGAGTATCAATCCTTCCATTCCCCACCATTCAGTCAGAACTGAAAAAGCTTCTTGGATGAGAAGTGAAACGTCTTCAAAGAAAAAACAAGAAAGTCCAGTTGCCTTCTGAAAAAGCACCTTTGGGACAACCATGACCTGAATGACTGAGAATCTCTACAAACTCTTAGTTTGGGAAGTGATGCAGCTGTTCCTAAAATATAATCAAATTTTGAGGACACTTTGATTCTAAAGCTGCTGAAGAAGTAGACAGGGAGAAAGGCGCAGGAGCAATTAATTCCTAATGCATTCCATCTTTTATGAAGAGTGGGTTGTTGGTTTGTTTTTTTTTTTGCCTCTCTCAAAATTAATACAACATATCATTAAACCGAAGACAGCAAAATTGGGACAATTGCTGGTCCGCAGAAGAAGAAATATTGCCACGGCTCGCGGGACAGCAGCAAAATAAACAATTTTGATATCTTGATATAATTAAAACCAGCGCCAAAAAACAACAACAAAAAAAACCAACCCGTCAATCTTTTGTTTTCAGGATTTAAAATGTACAGAAACAATCTGTACAGCGGAGATACAGATTTTCTGAACAATCATAGAAATTCCCCGGTGAAATGTTGAGAAATATTTATTTCTTTCTCCAATTGTGTATTTTAATCTGGATTTTTAATGGGGGATTTTAACTGTCGGGCCAAAATGTTTAATTTATTTTTAGATTGTTTTTAAATTTTGTATTTGATGTTTTTTTTTACTTCTGGCTGTTCACCGCCCTGAGTCCTTCGGGAGAAGGCCGGTATATAAATTTAAATATTAAATTAAATTAAATTAAATTTGGTTCCTCATCTGCTCCAAATGTTTTCATTTCTTCTAAACAAAGCTGGCGGCTTTGTAATTAAGAAGTTCGGGATTCAAATTAGTTTAGGAAGAGGACTTCTCCCTATGAGTCCCACATCCCTACCTGTTTTTTTTTTTTCCTCTATCTCAGTTCCTTCCAATCTGAAGGTTTTCTAGTTGGTGATGTTGTTCTCAAGCTTGCTTGAAATCTGTTTTCCTGAAATGGCAAAACAGATAGACTGGAAGCATTGCCATTTATATATTTCAGAGCTGTGACCTGCTTTCACGTTGGAGGACAATATATTTGTGAACTTGACATCAGAAGAAAAGGACCAGGGGTGACATGATAGCAGTCTTCCAATATTTGAGAGGTTGCCACAAAGAAGAGGGAAAGAGTCAAGATATTCTCCAAAACACCAGAAGCAGCAGTAGGATTCAGCCGGTTCAGACTGATTCTGGAGAACCAGATGCAAATTTTACACCTGGTTTGCTGAACCGGTAGTTTCAACAGAGCCTTGGTAGCACAGTGGACTAATGCATTGTTATTAACATCTGCTGCTTGCAATTACTGCAAGTTCAAATCCCACCAGGCTCAAGGTTGACTCAGCCTTCCATCCTTTCTAAGGTAGGTGTGTTGCAATATTTTCAGGATCAGACTCAATAAAGATAATAGGAGTTAAGAGCTTTAAATATATTTCTTTTTAATTATGATAGGCATTCTATATTCACTGAATATTCAAGGTAGAAGCGACGAGAATGGTGAGGGTGGCTCCTTATATATACAGGGGTGGAGCTAGGAATGGGAGTGGTAAGTTATGAATACATTAAAGTCCAAAGAATAAGTTAACCTCTGATGTTCCATATATACATTATTTACACATTGGAGAATAAGGCATTTACATCTGACAAATCCCCCTCTAAATGCCGGTTCGTTACACAACACCAATTACATTCTGATTCAGGACAATATAATACATATAATTTAGAAGTTAAATATTTGTGTTGTTTAGAAGGTAAGGGTTTTGTTAATATGTCAGCTAATTGTTCAGAAGTATCGCAATGTATTGCTTTAATGAATCCGTCTTGAGACAGTTGTCTCACATGCTTAAAACTTTATATCAATATGCCTGGACCTTTGTCCAATTGCATCGGATCTGGATATTTCAATGGCCGCTTTATTGTCTTCATGCATAATAAATGGTAAGGTGGGTTTCTTCCAAACATCAGTGATCAGATCATTGAACCATACAAGGTTATTTGCAGCTTTGGACAAACAAACATATTCCGCTTCTGTAGTAGAAGTGGCTACTAGTTCTTGTTTACCAGTATACCAGTAAACTGGACAATCATTCAATAGAAAAACATAACCAGAAGTACTCTTTCTGCATGATGTATCACCAGCCCAATCTGCATCAGCATAACAAGTAATTTTTGGTTCTCTGTCATTATTGGGTTCCAACATTAAACAAAAATCTAATGTACCCTTCAGATATCTTAGAATTCTTTTGACAGCTTCCCAATGATACAAGGTTGGTTTACTAACATATCTTGACAATAGATTGAGAGGTAATGCAATATCTGGC